TATTACGTCTCACTACACACATTCCAACACAAAATTTCACTGACCATGAGATCTAACACTGCACATGAAATTCCTTTCAACATGAGATGTCATTCAGCGAGAGATCTCTGGAATCAGGATATTTCATTTTACAAGAAGTGAAACTGCACACAATATCTCACTCAACATAATATCTCAACCATCAAGAGGTCTTGGTCTACATGATATCTCGCTCCACAAAAGGCCTATTGTTTTTATGAAACATGAGATCCCATTTAGATACATTGTCTCACAAATATAAACAAAATTAAGTGTGTTTCTGAATATAATGGAGCAAAACGCACATCCCAATAATAATTTTAGGTGACTTTGCTTTCTTTGTTGTCTCTTTGCTTAGGTGTATGTGTTATAATTTGGGGGTAAAATTTACAGTTATGTTTTTTATAGGGAAATATTATTTCTGCTGGGAAAATGGAGAGGTTTTTGGTTAAATGAATCTGGAGGAATGTACAACTTTTGTTTCTTGTAACGAAATGTACACTAGATATATTAAAAAAAAACAAGTTTCCATAAATATGAAGTTTGTTAATTCTTTTCAAATTCTAGTTTGGTTATGTAGCAGGGTCTATATCATTGGGAAAATCCTTAGAAAGTCTATTGATTTTTTGAGGTCTTGAAAGTCTTTGATTGTCTCTAAATTACAGGAAAAATAAAAAAATCTTTCAAAAGTCTTTAAATTTCCTCATAGTTATTAATACATTTTAGAAAGACCCGTTTTCTCCAGGGAACTATTATATCCTCGGAACTTTGATGATGATGTTGGTCTGAATTTAAGGGTCAAAGTGTCTTGCAATAAAGTTTGGGAAAAGGTCTGGAAAATTCTTGGAAATCATTTGGCTCTTGGTGCTATGGACCCTGTGTAGTATTTGTATCAGTTGTGATAATGTGACTAAGATCATACAGTAGTGGGAATAACCACGGTCTATGTTGTTTTAGTCTAGATCTGTTTGAATAAACCTAAAGTTAGACGTTTAGTGAATAAGAATATTATTAATTCAAGCTACTATGTGGTCAGTATATTGGGCAATTAAACGTACATATCATTTAACACACAAACAAACGAGATTGCAATGTTACTTCTACTGTATAATGATATGGTATTAGAAAAAAACTACGAGTTATACATGGATGAACGGAACACACTTATATGTGTGTAATCACATAAAACTGCAAACTACTGTATTGTCATTATGTACAGAGTGGATCTGATTTCTTGATGTATAACTAACCATTGAAGATTTTTTTATA